GTCGGGGGGCGTCGCGATGCTGCTGCGCCTGCTGCTGGCCTGGGCGGCCGTGGTGCCCGCGCTGGGCCAGGCTCCCGGGGCCGCTGAGCCCCGCGCCCTCTGCGGCCCGGGAAGCTGCTACGCGCTCTTCCCGCGGCGCCGCACCTTCCTGGAGGCCTGGCGGGCTTGCCGCGAGCTGGGGGGCGACCTGGCCACGCCGCGGACCCCCGAGGAGGCGCGGCGCGTGGACAGCTTGGTGGACGCCAGCCCTATCGGGGGGCTGCTGTGGATTGGGCTGCAGCGGCAGCCGCGGCAATGCCAGCCGCAGCGACCTTTGCGCGGCTTCACCTGGACCACGGGAGACCAGGACACGGCCTTCACCAACTGGGCCTTGCCAACCATCATCGGGTCCTGCCCGGCCCAGCGCTGCGCCGCCCTGGAGGCAAGCGGCGGGCATCGCTGGCTCGAAGGCTCCTGCACACTGGCCGTCGATGGCTACTTGTGCCAGTTCGGCTTCGAGGGCGCCTGCCCCGCCTTGCTGGAGGAGGAGGGACAAGCCGGCCCAGCCGTCTACACCACGCCCTTCCACCTGGTCTCCACCGAGCTGGACTGGCTACCCTTCGGCTCCGTGGCCGCCGTGCAATGCCAGGTGGGCGGGGAGGCCTCTCTACTCTGCGTGAAACAGCCCGAAGGTGGCATGGGCTGGTCTCGAGCTGGGCCCTTGTGCTCAGGGACTGGCTGCGACCTGGGCAATGGGGGTTGCGATCATGAGTGTGTGGAGGAGGAAGAGGGGCACGTGTCCTGCCGCTGCTCCGAGGGCTTCCAGCTGGCAGAGGATGGGCACAGCTGTGAGGAGGTCTGCGGCCAGGGTCAGTGCGAGCATCGCTGTGAACTCGGCGGGCCACGAGGCTATAACTGTGTCTGTAACCTGGGCTTCCGACCGTCTGAGGAAGACCCGCACCGCTGTGTGGACACGGATGAGTGCCAGATTGCCGGAGTGTGTCAGCAGATGTGTGTCAACTACGTGGGCGGCTTTGAGTGCTACTGCAGTGAGGGCCATGAGCTCGAGGCCGATGGGATTAGCTGCAGCCCCTCGGGAGCCCCGGGCCCCAGCATCTCCCAGGACCTTGGACACGAGTTTCTGGACGGCAGGGAGGATGCAGAGGCCTGGGAGACCATCCACGGTGGATGGACCGAGGTGCCGCCGATGCCGTGGATGGAGCCCACGCAGATAATGGACTTCGACCTGGCCTATGGACCCAACTTCCCAGAGGCTCAAGAGCCAAGGAGGTCCTATCCAGAGGCCACCTGGCCCCCTCCGCTCAGTGCTCCTCGAGTCCCCCATCACTCCGCGGTGCTGTCTATCACCAGGCCCATGGTGATCTCTGCCACACGCCCTACAGTGCCCTCTGCCCACCAGCCCCCCTTTATGTCTGCCACACGTCCACCCCTGGCTGCCTCCTATCGACCTCCCAGAATCCCTGCCATTCACCCAGCTTTGCCTCCTGACCATCAGTTCCCAGGAATCTCATCCAGCTATCCAGATCTGTCCCTTGCCCGCCAGCCCCCCATTGTCTCTGCCCCTCGCCCAGCACAGCCTCCCACCCACAAGCTCCCTGTTATCTCTGCCACTCGCCCAGCACAACCCCCCGTGCTTCAACCCCCCATGGCTCAAGATAGCCAGGTCACTGGCACCCAGACCACCACACATTTGCCTCAAATTCCAGCTAACCATGCCCCAAGAGTTACTATCCCAAGTGCCCATCACACCCCTCAAGCCCCAGATGTCCCGGTGCTCAGAGCCCAGACTACCCAGCTTCCCAATACACCAACTGTCCTGCCCCCTCTGACCACCACCACCAGGTCCCCTCTGTCCTCTGCCCGTCAAGTCCCTGTGCCTGCTGCCACCCAGCCCTCAGCCCTTCCCAGTCCCCTACCCCCTCACCAACTGAACCCCACTAACCAGACCTCACTCACCAGCCCTAAAGACCCCCAATCCAAAGCCCCTCATATCCCAAGGGAAGATCCGTCCAACCCTAAGCAAGCCCAATGGCAACCCTCAGTAACCCCCACAGCCGTCCCCACGGTGCAGGGGGAGGCCAGCCTGGCAGGTCGAAGTCCAAGGGATGACCGGTGGCTGTTGGTGGCACTGCTGGTGCCAACATGTGTCTTCTTGGTGGTCCTCCTTGCACTGGGAATCGTGTATTGCACCCGCTGTGGCCCTCATGCTCCTAACAAACGTGTCACCGACTGTTATCGCTGGGTCACCCACGCTGGAAGCAAGAGCCCTATGGAACCTGTGGCCCCCCGGGGCAGCCTCACAGGGGTGCAGACCTGCAGAACCAGTGTGTGATGGGGTGGGGGAAGGGGTGTGCACTGGACACATGATGGAGCTGCACCAGGGACCCATGGGGCCAATCACATGGACAGGGTTATCTGCGCCCCAGCTCTGCTTCTTTCAGCCAAGACTTGACTCTTGGGAACTCGTGATAGAGGAGGCCAAGGCCCCCGGACCTCAGGGGGTGGGTGCTAGGGTCTTCTCCAATAAACGGGGTACCAACTTCGCTCAAAGGTCCCAGACCCTACTGGTGCCTGAAGGGAGGGTAGAGGATGCAGAAAAAAAGAAGGAGCATGACTGGGTTCCCAAGGATGTAAGGTAAGACCCCTTGAAGAGTCTTGGGAAAGCGGAGACCTCCAGAGCGCATGGCCTTATCCAGTGTCATCAAGGGAGCCCAGCAGTAGAGATGTCAGGCATAGCAAGGCGAGAATATTGTATTTCTTCCTTTTTACCTGGAGAAGGTTCTACTATAAGGGCTCCTGCTGCATGGGGTTCAGACTGGCACTAAGAACCAAAAGGCAGGTTCTGGACGAGCTGTGATGTGTGGATCTGGTGAGTGAGTCTTCTAACCTGCTTCTGGTACTTTCCTTCCCATCCCTCAGGCAGCCCAGAGAGGGAAGGGAAGCTGGGCTCTGGGTCTCCCGAGGATGCCACTATCCCCCTGGGCCCTCCTCTGCTTTAGAAAGAAGGTGAGGACCAGGGCCCCGCAATGGGAGCACAGGAACCCCATGGGAAAGACCCTGAGCTGGGCTCTCAGCTCCAGGCCACCTCACGAGCCCATTGTCCCTTCTGGGTCACACTTTGGTGGAACAGAAGACCTCAGCTGAGCCTGAGTTCAGGCTGCTCAGGACGAAATGTCCCAGGAACTGGAGGAGGAGCTGGTGGAAGATGAACCTGGGGGCACTGGAGAGCCTCCCGCCCTCGCCCAGGCTCGCAGCCTCGGGAAGGGCGCCGGTTCCCACCACCCCTGTAATTTTTCAGTTGCAGCCTCTCCCTGGCCTCTAATTAGGACTGGGCACCGCCGTCGCGACCACCCGGGCAGGCGAGGAGGGGTGGACCAGGCCCCCTTCCTTTCCCCGAGTCCTACACCACCATCTGGCCTTAAGAGCTGGGCTGGGACTCGAAGGCTATAGCTGGGCCTCAGGGGACCAAGAGAGGAGGGGCTGGAGCTGGGGACGAACCAGGGGGCCTTGGAGGGGGCGGAGGGAATGCTTCGCACCGCCCCCGGTCCGGCTCTCACGTTCCCCTAACTCAAACCAGACGTCTCTGTCAGAGTCAGCCCAAACTTTTAACCTTAGAGTCGCCGCTGACGAAGTTTGCTGGCTGGGGTAAGGGTCGTGGGGAGGCTCTGGCCCCAGAGTCCTGGAAGTAGGTGTAGACGCAGCAGTGGCAGAAGGGTGACAACACCTTATGGGACAGAAAGCACTCTTTCCCGCAATACTTTATAGGGCAATCAGGACTCCCCAAGGCAGGAAGGGGTTAAATGCGTTGCATTCGGAAAGGAGGATGGGAGTGGGGAAGGGGGCCCAGAGCCGGCTCTTTGTCATCTGTAATGAGCACCAGATGCCGAGCAGCCTGTGGACCTAAACAGACGGCCTCCCAGGGCAGCGCCCCCGCCCCCGCAAACCCAGCACCGCCCAAGACCCATCAGGCCCCGCCCATCCCTGCACGAGCCCCCCAGCAGGCGGGGACTTCTCAACTATCGGCCACGCCTCTCGGAAGTACGAGTCCTGCCCACCCTATCAGGCATCCAGAAATTCCCGCAAAACTATTGCCCCGGCCTATTGACTTATAAGCTCCGCCCAGATAGAGGCGTGTCCACCGACCCCCCGCCCACTAGTGGAATAAGTCACGCCTCCTTACAGCGGCCTGCCTAGAGATTGGCTACTAATAAACTCCGCCCAGGGGCTGCACAGGGCCTCCTCTAGCTGTGCCACAAGCTCCGCCCCATCGGAGCCTTAGTCCACGAGTGCAGGGAACCCCGCAGAGACACCCTCTGGTCCCAGAGAGACACACTCTCTCCCTTCCTCCCAGCCACACCCCCTCGCCGGGCTTCCAGAGCCGAATCAAAGGAAAAGCTCCGCCCACATATGACCAACACACTTTCCCTCCACTCTAAGGTCATGAACTCGCCTACGCTAAACCCACTTAGAAGGCTTCTTCCTTGGAGACTCCAGGCCCCGCCCACAGGGAATTACGTTAAGCCCGCCCACCGCAGCATCTCTTTCAGCTGGCCTGGAACCCGAGGACCGACCGCCCACGCAGAGAACGTAAGGACACCGCTCCTCCTCCTCCTGCAAACGTATAACCCCGCCCACCTTTAGGCTTCACCTTCCTGGGACCGAGCTTTGCCCCTCTGTCTGTGGTTTCCGACGGCCTCCGGGGTCTGGCCTCCCACGGCCTCTGAGGTATGTGCAGACCCGAGAGTCCTTCGAGCCCCTCTTCCAAGCCCAGGACGTCCCTGACCCTTGGGCCAGTTTCTTCCCCTGACTGTAGTTTCCGAGTTCTCTGGACAGTGCCGGGACATGACGGTGGAAGGCGTCGATGAGCGGGCCTTTGTCGCCACCTGCCTTCCGCGCTGCAGACTTGCAGGCACTCGGGCCTCCCTGCTTCTCTTCAGGCTCCTCCAGGCATATGACTGTTGTTAGCAGCCTTCCAGCCCATGAGAACTGCTCCTCCCAAAGCACTCAACTGTGTAGTACAGAATTGCTTAATTTAATAAATATTTTGTTTGCTCAAATACCTACTTACTCCTTTCTCAGGTGCCCAGTTAGCCGGGTCCTTAAGCCACCTGAGTCCTGTTTCCTGGAGGCAGAGGCGTGAACTCAGTGCTCATGTGACTGTTATGCCTGGGAGACTGTTAGCAGCTGTGTGAGGCCCTCCCGTGGGGCCGAGACTCACCCTCTTTACAGCCTGGCTTAGGGCCTCAGACTGGGCGCTCACCATTCACCTTTGAAAAGAAATATTTGCCTTCTCATTCTCACCGTGGACGAGGAGGGAAGAAAGTTTGAATGAGGAGCTCTGAGGCATTAAGATAGAAAGAAATTAACATGCACTTAGGTGCCCTGGTGGCTTAGTGCAAAACATACCTAACTGCTGTTATGTGCCCGTCAAGTCGCCTAGGACTAATAATGTCCCTATTTACCCTATTTATCTACCTTATCTTGAGACCGCTAACGAGAAAGTCGGTGGTCCAAATCTAGCCAAAGTGCCACTGAGTCAACCGCCATTGAGACCCTGTGAATAACAGATCTGATGCCCTATCATGTACCATTCTCACCATCTCCTATAGACTTAAGTTACCACGTGATTCCATCTTGTTAACGGTCTTCCTCATCTACGGCCTTTTACCTTTCCAACCATGATGTCTTTTTCCAAGGACTGGACCCTCCTCACTACATGCCCCAAATATGAGTTTCGCCTGTCTTGTTTCTAACGAGTATCCTGATTACACTTTTTCCAAGACATATATGTTTGTTCTTGTGGAAGTCCATGCGATATTTAGGTCTCTTCTCCAATACCACTACTCAAGGCATTAATTCTTCTGTCATCCTTAGTCACTGTCGAATTTTAATATGAGTTGCAAGTAATCAAAATGATTATGGGTTGGATCAGGAACACCCTAGTCTCTAAACTGACATTGTTGTTCCTCAACACGCACTTTGGAAAGGTCCCTGCAGTATGTCTTTTGACTTGATTTCTTTTTCTTTAATTATTTTTTTTGTGTGTGTACCATCAAGTCAGATCTGACTGGTACAGGAGGAGATTGTCCCTCCTTCTCCAGGAGATGACTTGATTTCTTGACTGCTGGCACCAAGGGTGTTGATTGTGGATCCAAGTAAGATGAAATAATAGACAATATCAATCTTTTCTCTATCTGTGGTGATGTTGCCTATTGGTTCAGTGATGAAGATTTTTGTTTTTTTGATGTTATGATGTAATCCATATTGAAGGCTGTAGTCTTTGATATTTTGCAGCAAGAGCTTCAAGTCTTCATTTTCAGTAAGCAATGTTGTGTCACTTCTATAATGCCGGTTGTCAAAGAGTCTCCCTCTGATCTGGATGCCACATTCTTCCTCATAAAGTCCAGCTTTTCAAATGATTTGTGAAAGGTAGTCTCATTCCATAAAGATTTACAGCCTTGGGGGGGAGGATGGGCAGGGAGAGAAGTGCAGCAATGAATGAATGGAAATCCAAAATCTCTGTAGATGCTCATTAAAATGATAAAAATAAATTTTTTTAAAAAAGATTTACAGCCTTGGTCTTTTCTCAACCTCTGTACTTTTGGAGAACTGACCCATCTCATACTATGGGATGTATCTTTTCTAACAAAACTATCTTTTCTTTCACCTTTAAAAAGAAAGATTTGCAGCATCTGAAACGCGGTGGAGGTTAACTAGAAACCAGAACCAATTAGAGGGAAGTGGATTTCTGTCTGTTTGTTTGGTAAAACCTGCTGAGCTAGACTTGGTGCTAGGAGCTCGGTGCCCTCTCATCTTGCATCAGGAGCACGATGGTGGCCAAGTGTCAGCCTTGCTCACAGTTATATCCTGGCAAATGCAGACTTGAAAAATAAGAACTTGAAAACAACTATGAGATATCATTTCACCCCAGTCAAAATCGCAAAATTTAACAGAACAGCATGCAACAAATGCTGGCGAGGTTGTGGAGAAACTGGAACCCTGATTCACTGTTGGTGGGAGTGTAAAATGGTGCAACCCCTGTGGAAAGCAGTATGGCGCTTTCTCAAAAAGTTGCAAATAGAGATACCATTTGACCCAGCAATTCCACTACTGGGAATATACCCTGAAGAGACCATAGCTGACATCCAAGCAGATATATGCACACCCATGTTTATTGCAGCTTTGTTCACAATAGCAAGGAGTTGGAAACAACCTAAGTGCCCATCAACAAACGAATGGCTAGAGAAGCTGTGGTATATTCGCACAATGGAATACTATGCTGCATTGAAAAACAAGGAACTCATGCAATATTATTCAAAATGGTTGACTCTG